TAGGAAAAGTCTCGTCTCCAGAAGTGGAGGCGATGGATGATGCCTCTGAGTCTCCCACTCTTGCATCCGACCAAGATGACATGGACTGGCAGACCCCTAGGCTTAAAGCGAAAAAGCCAGTGGTTTCTTCCAAATAATCACTTTTAATATATTCAACTTCCTTATTGCCTCTCTGATTTTAATTTTACATTTCAGATTTTTAGATAAATGAAGAATTTACATTTTATGCAGTGGACTTTTCGTTGTCTTTTATCTAATATTGATTATATTAATTATTTTATGGATGATCTCCGGCCTATTGCCCTCGCTTTACAAGAAACTCATCTCCAAGCTCGTCATACACAGATTCTAAGGCGTCATCAAGTTTTCCGTAAAGATCATTTTATTTCCACCTCCGGGGGCGTTGCAGTGATTGTGCAGAGTGGGGTTGCCTGTTTCGAGGTCCCACTCTGCACCCCACTGGTAGCCGTAGCGGTACGGCTTCTTTTAGACCGCCTTATAACGGTTGTTTCTATTTATTTGCCTCCGAATGTTCCCCTGCATCTCTTTGAGCTCCAGGGGCTCGTGGGACAACTCCCCAACCCTTTTTTTTAATTTTAGGTGATTTTAATGCCCATCATCCCATGTGAGGCAGTACTCGTCTCGATTCTCGAGGCAGAGTAATTGAGCGATTTTTACTATCATCTCAAATATGTCTTTTTAATAGGAGGGGAGCCTACATTCTTTAGTTCAGCTCACAATTCATTTACATCTATTGATTTATCTATTGCATCACCTTCATTACTGCCTTGTTCTTCTTTGCAGGTTCTTGATAACCCTTTTGGGAGTGACCACTTCCCTATTACTTTGGAGAGCGACATTTGTCTTCCTACTCTGTTAAAACGAATGCCTCGGTGGAAGTTGGACAAGGCCGATTGGTATTTTTTTAAGTTTCTCCACGCTGGATACATCCCTATTTTCCTCCATGACTGCGGATGAAGCCACATTGTATGTGACAAAGCAGATAATAAACGCCGCTCAGCAGTCAATTCCCCAAACTGCCGGTATTCTGCCTCGTAAGTGCAAACCTTGGTATAATAAGAAGTGTGCCATTACGCGCACGGAGCAAAATAAGGCATGGGGCAAGTTCAGGCGGTACCCCACCTTAAGAAACCTGGTTGAGTTTAAAAAAACGAAAAGCTAAAGCCCGGTGGACCCGTAAGCGATCGAAACGGAAAACCTGAGTTAAATATGTGCCGTCTCTGAGCAGCTTTGTAACTGTTAAGGAGGTCTGGGATAGATTCAAGAGAATCAAAGGGGACTACAAGGGGTTCACGATTTCCGTTTTCAACCCTCCATGTGCATCACTGAAAGATACGGCCAACGTTCTTGGGAAGTACTTCTATTCGGTGTCCAGCTCCTCTAGTTATTCGGATTCCTTCAAGTTGTTTAAACGACGTGCAGAGCAACATAATATAGTTACAACGGGATCAAACGCTGCATCTTATAATCAGCCCTTCACACAGTACGAGCTAAAGAGTGCCCTTGACATAAAAAAAAATCTCTGCTGCTGGACCTGGTGGACTGCATTACGAAATGCTGCGTAATCTCTCTCCAGAATCTCTCGAATCCCTTCTTAATATCTTTAATTCATTGTGAAAAAGGGCTAGCTTTCCATCGGCTTGGAAACGGGCACACATTATCCTTCTCCTGAAGCCGGGTAAGGATCCAGCTCTGCCTTCTAGTTACCGTCCGATAGCTTTAACCAGCCGCCTTGGGAAAACCTATGAAAGACTGATAAACAGGCGGCTGGTGTATGTTGTAGAAAAGGAAAGCATTTTGGATAACAATCAGTGCGGGTTCCGCCAAGGACGATCTACCTTGGAACATTTGGTGCGCTTAGAAACGGCCATATGTGAAGCATTATTGTGTATCGGTCTTTGTTGACTTAGAAAAGGCCTACGATACAGCCTGGAGATATGGCATCCTCCAAGACCTTTATGGCTATGGAATTCGTGGCCGTATGCTGCAGTGCATAAAAGATTTTTTGACAGGCAGGACGTTTCAGGTTAGATTGGGAATTGTTTTGTTTGATCAATTCGTTCAAGAAAACGGGGTTCCCCAGGGAGGTATCCTCAGTGTTACACTTTCTGTAATCAAAATGAATTCTCTCGCTCAGGTTTTGTTACCATCCATTACATACTCACTTTAAGTTGACGATATCCAAATCTCAGCGTCGTCGTGCAATCTCTCGAGCTGCGAGCGCCAGCTACAGCTTGCCATAAATAAGCTTGCTAAGTGGGCGGACGAAAATGGTTTTAAGTTTTCTCCCGAGAAAAGTGTCTGTGTCCCATTTTCTCTATGCCGTGGTCTATCACTGGATCCAACCTTAAAACTGCAAAGAACCGGCATTCCTGTCAAGAAAGAGCACAAGTTCTTAGGTGTTACCTTTGACAAAAAGCTCAATTTTATTGCTCACCTCAAGTCACTCAAAGAAAAATGTCTCAAAACTGCGAATATTTTGAATGTTTTAGCCCATAAATCCTGGGGATCTGACAGAAAATGCCTTCTGCGGCTGCACAACGCTCTTGTTCGATCCCATCTCGACTATGGGGCACCAGTTCACGGTTCTGCATGACCGTCCGCGCTCAAGATGTTGGATGCAGTCCATCACCTCGGACTGCGACTCACAACAGGTGCCTTCCGGACGTCCCCAGTCCTGAGCCTGTATGCTGAATCAAATGAGATGTCACTCAAGAAAAGACGCCAATATCTAAGCTTAACATACTGCTAAGAGATACTTGCGAACCGTATCATCCAACCAACAACTCCCTCCAAAAATGTAGATATTGCCGCCTCTTTGAGAATAAGCCAAGCATCGTAAGGCCCTTGAGTTTCCGAGTACAGCAATTTTGTTCCTCACTTGATCTTTGTTTGGACAAAGTTAATCTTATGCAGAATGTAGACTGTGTTGCCCCCTGAGACATAGTGCCATTTGCTTGTGACTGGGCTCTCACAAGGTTTAATAAATATAGCGTCTCTGCCCTTATTTTCCAACAGAAATTTTCTGAGCTTGAGAAGAAGTATGAAGGCTACACACCTTTTTACACTGATGATGCTATGACGTCGTCATTTGTTGGCAGCGCCGTACATTCTGATTGTTTTATTAAAGTGAAACGTCTAAATACTTTATCTAGCATTTTTACAGCTGAGGTTTATGCAATATCTATGGCCATAGATTATATCCTCTGGGCTAAAATAAAGCAGGCTGTCCTATTCGTAGACCCGCAGAGTGCTGTTACCGCAATATGCTCTTTGAGAGTTACTAAAAATATGCTTGTGCAGCAACTACGAAATAAGCTCAATAAAGCTGTACATGGAGGCCTAAATATAAAATTTTGTTGGGTGCCCAGTCATATGGGAATAAAAGGTAACGAGGAAGCATACTGACTCGCTACATCCTCAGGTAATCTTCTCCCGTCCCACGCCTCTTTGCCACACCAAGACATTAAACCTCTAACAAAGTCATCCCTTCTCCGCTTATGGCAGTCTGAATGGAGCATGGAGTGCAACAATAAACTTCATATTACAAAGCCGGTTTTTGGGCTCTGGAAGAACTCTCCTCACAGAAACCGATTCCATGAAGTATTGTTGTGTCGACTTCGAATCGGTCATTCTTACATATCGCACAAATATCTTCTTAGTGGGGAGGACCCACCGGTGTGTGAGCATTGTGGAAATACACTTACCACCATGCATATCTTGTGGCTCTGTCCAGCTTTGGACAATGAACGTCGTACCCACTTTCCTGAATTGTTTCATTTCCAAATCCCATTCCATCCTGCTCTTTTCCTGGGAGAATATCCCCTCATCCCATTTGACCGTCTGTTGACTTATATTACTAACGCAGGTTTTATTAATCAGATCTAATTCCGCATAGCTAGTCATTATTTTGTAGCACAGTAACAATAACAGCTTGTTTTCTTTTTATCTTTGTTTAGTGCAGTATGGCCTCCGTTGCTGTTGCGCCATAAAACCCCTAAACAACAACAACTACAACAGCGTGCCGAGGCGCTTCCACCCGCACAGCGAGGGGACGGAAATGTCCCTCCGAGGCGCCAACGCCTATTGTCGCTTTTCCTCAGCCGGCCACGTACAATGTCACGGCGAGTTAGGCGCACTCGTTGGGCGGTTGGTTGAGAGTCGTTTAGCGTCCACAGTGCTGCACGCAGCTTGCAAAATAAGCTATAGGCCACTGTTGTCCCGAGAAAAGGTAGCTAGCGTGTGTACACCGCAAGCTCCGTGAGGCGTAAAAATAAATAGGTTGATTATGTGGTTTTGGAATTCGGGGAGAAATCGGGTTTAACCCGATTTTCCTGAAACATGTTCGGGGTATAAAAATCGGGTAAAATCGGGCTTTACCCGAAAACGAACGACCCTATGTATAAATGATAGGGCACGTGAGCATGCCCTGTCAAAAGCTCCCCTTTGGGCAATGTCGCCATGCATTGTGATAGGTGCCCTTGTGCGTATAATATTGAAGGTTACGTATTTTTCAGGCTCGTTTTAGTAAACATAAACCAACTAAGCCACGTGGCCATTTTACGACACTAGACTAGTTTTCTTAAAAAAGGACCCCTTCTGGGGACGGTCAAAATTTGAAGACAAGCTTACAATCCTGAACGTATGAGTGTATGCGTTCGAGGCATTAGTAAAAAAAATGAAGCTGGTCACGGGGCACACATTCCCCTACATACAAAAGATTTCTCTCAGCCAAGCAAGGTCGGATAATCCCGACGCACGAGAGACGACGGGTATTCGACAGAGCGTTGCCCTCGAGAACACGGTTGTTTTTCTAGTCAAGTAGCCGACACCCTTCTCACTAGGCGTACCTTTATCTCCCGCAGGATAGCGAGATGCCATTTGTATTTTCGCCACTCGACACGTATCAAATGAGGGTGTCAGGAGTTTTTTTGCTGTAATCGGCGTCGCGGCACAATGGTTTAAAAGGCGCTTCGGAAACCAATAAGCTTGTCGCATATTTTACTCTGAACTTGTAGAATTACACGTGATCGTCCAAGACGGAGAAAGAAAACTTACGAGATATACTAGTCTTAACGAATCCCCATGAAAGCAAATTTTCATCCAGACACTTACGCACGAATCAATGACTGGATGAAACAGGAGAACCTCGCCGCATTGACGAAGACAACCTTTCAAAAACCTTCTATCCAGTGCGAACAGATCCTTGACGTTGGTTGCGGGACGGGGGAATTCACAAGGGATAGGCTACTGCCCAGTCATCATTCGTGCAGCAAGATTGTAGCCGTTGACGTATTATCAGCCATGGTAGACCACGCGAGAAGAAATCACGGACATTCGCGCATCAGCTACGAGGTCCTTGACATAACCACGCCGGACGTGTCGGTATTTCTGGATGAACACGGAAAGTTTGACCGGATTTATTCCTTCCTCTGTCTGCAGTGGACAAGAGACCAGGAGGCGGCTTTCAGGAACATCGGTAGGCTTTTAAAAGAAGATGGAGAGTGTCTACTTTTTTTTTCCGCCCCATTTTATCTGTTCGACGTATGGCTCGAGATGGCCGGAATGGAACGTTGGAAGGGCATCCTTGGTGTGAGTATGAAATTCTTCTTGAAAAAATATCAGAACCGCTAACTACACATGGACTACGGAAGGTCCATATAGAGCGCGTCTGCGAATCGTACGTATGCCTCCATACAAAGGTGACTAGTTAGCGCTTTCTCTATTTTTATTTCATTGTGAACCATCTTAAACCAAAGCTTCAATGTTGAATGATGGGCCCATGAATGCGAATTGAGCTGTACCTGTATTTTATATTCTCGGAGCAGGACCTCAAAGACATCTTTCCAGACATCTGGCATCGCGATCCGTCGCCAAGCCTGAGCGACCTTGAAAATTCTCTTCGGAGACTAATTGCCGACGCAGGAATGACGACCCTCACTTGCGAGGTTTACTCGACGGAAGCCTACTACCCTACCCTTGAAGTCCTTCTGGGTAAGTTATGTAAGTTTTTTTGTTAGAAAGCTGAACAAAAGGATACGCAGAGGACATTTAGTACTGCGCTGTGTTACGCGAGTTCAGCTGTTTAGATCAATAACCGTGTGTATCGCTAGAAGGCATGCCGATGTGCATTACGCAAAATCCCATTTGAACTAAGGCCTTATCGCATTTGAACTAAGGCCTTATCGACCAACGCGCAGACTTGCGGCAGTAACAAATAGGAAAGCCGCTAACAGATGTTTCATTTTGTAGTTCAAACAAAGCACAGGTTCGAATTTGGGAAGCTTGAAGTCTTCAATGGCTTTCAAGGCTTGCGTTGGATATTTCTCAATTGTCCTAACATCTTTAAAAAAAAAACAAAAAAACGCCCAAAAAAAATTTTTGTTTTTTGGACGCTGAAGGTTTATACACGTTCGAGTTTTGTAGTTCTTAAGCATTTTTTTTTTTTTTAATTTCATATCGATTCAGATTCAGGCCTTAAATAATGCAACTTCGCTTAACGATGTCCAGAATGTCTAGTGGAATTAGATTTTGGCCTATTGGAGCTAAAACGCTGCTCAGAGTGACGCGCGCGGGACTCTCGGAGCAGTCTGTCGCATCTCTCCACAAACTCAACTGAACGACGCTCGTTGCGCCAGTCTGCACTCTCTTGTCGTCTTTCTTTGAGACGGCACTTTACAACTGTGAAACACCTGACCAGATGCACGCCTGGATTCCCCGGTTTTCTCAAAGGTCCTGCTGCAATGGAAAAGCCGCCACCACCGACTTTATCAATATTATTGCTCTTTTCCAATAACCTTTATTTCTATGAGGTCTGACACAGATCTATCAGCACTCTCCAATTTTTCGAATCAGTCTCTTTCGGATGGAGAGAGACATCTGTGTTCAAGCGACTCAAGTAGACTGATCCTTGCGTAATCATAAATCGGGGCTCAACTGATATTGTCTCGAGAAAGTTGGCAATATATTTATGATGTATGATGCTTTGGGGTTAGCGGTTCAATTAGAGTAAGGGATGTCACCTCCACGTTCTCTCAGACGACACGAAAGGACAGTGTTGCGACCGGAGCGTCGGAGGGGAATTGCCTTGGCCTGAGGATGCATCGCAGTTTGCAGAAAGATAAGATAGGCTGCTCTGATTGTACTATGCACCTAGAAGAACAAAGGTTCAGCTCATATTGGCCGCGATAGTACAGGGCGTCTCTCCAAACGCTGGTCAAATCATTCCTGCAAAATATTCGCATAGCACAAAAAAAAGAAGGTTAACGTGGTATTCGTGTCCGCGCAGGGACCTATTTTGGAAAGTCTGTAAAGTTCAGTATAATTAGGCGATTAGCTTGTTTTAACCAAAAAACTGTTTAATGACTAAATTTCAATGCACATTTTCACTTCGAAGCTTTCCTAGTATCAACGAAATACATTGAATACCTATGTTAAAAGAAAACTACAACTTTTTTTTGTAGTGGATTGAGTGTTTCAATTATGTGAGAGTGGGAACAATCTAAAATTTGCGAACTATGATACATTTCAGACACTCAGTTCGCTGGTGATTATCTAATAAAGCGGAAAAAGAGTTTCCCGAGCGCATTTATCTTATTCTGGCGAATGGTGGAGGACTCCGAAATTAGGGATGAAACCTATTCTGTAGATAACATGCTGTTTCTGTTTATTACCCGGGCTATCTGTTATAAAAATTAATAGATTTGTAAATGCGACCTCATATTTTAGAACGCACCCAATATGCGTTAAAATCGATTTCGGCGAAAATGGTGTAATATTACAATCTGCCCAAGCTTAGTGTAACGTAATGCAAGATCATTACGTGCCTAATCAAATTGCTATGAAAAAAGATTGAACAGAAAGCTAACTGTGGTAAAGCGTGAAAAGAATTTGAAGGAATGCCTGTGAAGAAGCAAATGTAGGGAAAATGTTCCCTGCTTAATAGAATAAATGATGTAGTATTCTTCACAGTTTCAGTTGCACAACCTCTATAGTTCGTGTTTATTATTATTACAAAGGGTCCGATGTCAAAACAAGTTGATCGTAATGCTTCCGATACCTTGTGAAAGCAAAAGCATTTAAGGTTTTAATTTGGGAAAAAAGCACGCACCCCCCAACATGGTTTCATATTAATCCCTCTCAAAGGAGGGCAATAGGCCAAAAGGAAGGTCTCACTACGTAACACAGGCATGTGGAGTGCTGCTTATATGATGTAGGAAAGAACGAATATTATTGCAGTATTTATAGCAGTGAAGTGCTTTATAGCCGCGGTTAATATTTCATGCAGCCGTTCTTCTTCCAATCGTCTTGGTGAAGTCGGGCACATCAGAGAAGGAGACATCGAGCATGAGAAGCGAACTGTCGTCCAGGCTGATGAAGAGGTTCAAGATGACGCCCCGTGGTTGCAGCGTCCCCGTTGATCTCTTTCTTTTCCACACAAAGAAGGTCGTCCGAGAAGGTCCTACCGATGTGTAAAGCCATATGAAAGTTTATAAAGTACTTTGAGGGACATTCTAGGCGTGTCTCTGTACTTAGCCCCTTGGAGCTCACTGTCTCTCAAGGTGCAGCAAGATTTGATGAACAAATGCCCCTCCCTGGTGTGTTATGTGATGACATGACATTTGTCGAACAGCAGCTGTGCTACGGTCATACCCTGCAATGCACCGGTTAATCTTGGTTTCCAGCGCCGTGCCCTGCCTTTATCCGGTCTGGCCAAGATACGACACGCCCCACGCTTTCTCTCAGGCCGGTAGCATGCTATCCTGGCACCGCACCGGACCTGGCCAGCTTCTCGAAACATAGGACATGGCGGCAGCGGCAAAACGAAAGGCAGCTGTGCTGGCTGCAGTAACACTGCTGCACGACTGGTATAGGGTGCAGATGGTCTTATCCCATGCCAGCTGCTAACATAATGGAACAGCGACTAAGGCCGGAGTAATAGAAATGTATAAAGCATGCAACAGCGTTAGTAGGCCTTATGACAAAAAAAGAAACGGAGGTCATATTCTGCCAAACTGAACAGGACATGCTACTATGGTCGCTATGCTACAATGCAGCAACTTTAAAACAGGGGAAACTAAGTCTGGTGTATGAGGCCAGTGCTCGTAATAAAATACAGAGCTCTTTCCAAGAGGACAAGATGGTGGTTTCCCAGTAAGCGAGCAGGGTGAAATTCGATATGGCACCAAAAGAAATTCGGAATATAAACACGACACTATCTTTAAAGATTTTTAAAGATTTTAACAGTGGTTCAAGATCAATAGAGGAACTAGTTAATTGACCGTTGGATCATTCCATGTCAAACGTCCCAGACGTTGCACTCGACCACCTTCGATTTCTAAAAAAAATAAATGGCCTTTTGCCGCATTGTCTGTAGCCATGCCCTAAAATATTTCTGACCAAAAAAGTTTTGATGGAGTGAGCGAGATTTCAACTTTTAAAAATAGCGTGAAACTAGGTCCATAACTCCATACTTTATGAAAAATCAGCGTTTTTATGAAACACCCAAGAATATTTTTTTCTTAGATCTGCATGGCTTTCGACTTGCAATGTGCTTGGGCTTGTGCAGTTTTGTTTAATCTAAATATTTAAAAAAAAATAACATTTTATCGCTTTTGCTATTTTATTAAAAATATCTAATTGCTGCGGGGGCTTAAAATAACTTTTTTACCGGCTGCTCTGCAGGTATATCATCTATAAAAGAAACGTTTAAACCGCTCAATTAAATATCCCGCTGTCATACAAATCCTGAAGAAGCCAAAAAGTGCGTTTTGACGCAAAAACAGCTGTTTATTTCACCCTGAGGTAGTCCAAGTAAAATACAAACTATGACGGGTTTGGAAGAACAATCGATTGTCTTTTGATTCTGAAGGTTTAATTAAAGAAATTTTTCTTTAAAGCGAGAGAACAATTTTTGAACCACAACCCGGCGTAGCTTCTTAACGCCTCTTCGCCGCACAGCACGCCACCTGCGACGATAGCTGACACGATTAGGTCCAAAGAAAGAACGGAGTTTATGCCGCTTCCCCTTGTCCGTCTTTTCAGCTACAAGGGAAGAAACAGCAGGCATCCTGTTGATAATCGGAGGTGCCGCCAGTGCGTAGCCATAGCAGGCCCGTTGTGCACTTTGTATCCGACGACGGCTCCTCACACTCCGAAACGCGACGCCTAATTGACGGGCGGCATCAGCTGACGTATCAATGCGTAAGCCGACATGGACTTCTTTATAAATATATCTTACCTCTCCGTGAGAAGTAAGATATATTTATGGAAAGGTGGAATATTTTTGCCTAACAACCACATGGTATTTGGATTGCTATATAATAAGCATCGTGAATATTGGCTTGAAGCAATTCTTAAAAAATAAGGAATATGTAAGAATTTTAGCATTTTTGATACTTTTGTTACAAACTGTCTCTTTGCTGCAGGTGACTGTAAAAATTCTTATTTTCAGCGCTGTAGGTATACTGCACAAAAGAGAAAAAAAGTTTTCAGGCCGTACAACTAAACATCATGCAAATAAACAGCCAATTTTGTTCAAAAGTGCAGTTTTGCCGTTTCAAAAGCCGTCAATTCTTCCTTGAGGTGGCCCAAAGAAAAATACGAAACATGGTGACCTTTACAGAAGAGTTTACTTCATTTTGTTCTTCAAAGTTTAAATAAAATAATTTTGTTCTAAAGAGAAAAAAAAAATCATTTTTTTAAGTTAAGCTCTGGAGCCGCCACCTGGCGTCGTTTTTTGGGCCTCTTTGCGCAGCACGCCACCGCCGAACCTGGCAAAGCGTGCGACGGTGTCACGGTTTGCGCACGCAGGTAGACAGCAGGACTTCGAGTTGTCGGGTACATCTTAGTGGGAAGAAGCGTTTTTCCACTCTTGTTGCGTTATGGTGTGAGGGCCGGTGGTAGGCCCCAGGAAGAAAGAACAAGTTTAAAGATTAAGAGAACTGTTTATTACGGAGAAGAAAGGTATGTCTGAGTCAGTGGGACGGGCGGAAGCAACTGGAAGAGAAGTACACGGGCTTGGAGAATTTTGAGGCGAAGAGGCGATGGCTTTGGGGCAGGGGCGAGGGCGAGGCTGGTTTATGAGGTGAGGGGCAAGGTTACAGCCGCGGCGAAGAAGTCGGCTGCCGGGGCTTGCGAGCAGAGTCCACTTGGCTGGTGTTTACATTTGGGCGACGGGTAGAACTGAGGGCGAGAAGAATGGACGGTGGTTTGAACGGCGAGAGCTCGTTGGCTCTAGAGAACTCGGGTTGCGGGGAGCAATTTGGAAGGAAAGAACGGAGCGGGGGCGGCAGAGGGGATGGAAGAATAACTGATGGCTACGGTTAATATGTGCTCACAATGGATTTTCCTATTTCGATTGTTTTGCGCGGCGCTGTCCTCCTGTGGTCTTCCACTGTATTGATATCAGCAGATGCTTAGCGCTGCCGGGTCAGAGCATCTACTTGTAAGCTTGCTGCTTCTTACGTACACATCGCAGTTACTCTCTATTGCCAACGCCAGGACACTATTTAAACAGCAACACAAAAGCCCCGTGAATGGGCAGTCTGAAACGACGAGGTGATCTGGTGTTAACGAATGCGCGCCGCTGGAGGCTCACGCCTGTTTGTATTTAAATCGGCTTTGAAACGGCAAATTCTTGCGTCGCTGAAAAGTTCCGCTTTTAACCGCAGTATTCGTGACGGCTAGATTTCGCGGCGACATTCTCGCGTTTCTTTTTTAGGAGAAGCCCACGTCAGCTATGCCGCACGTCGAATAGTCATCGCGTTTCGGAGTGTGAGGAGCCGCCCTCGGATACAAAGGGCAGCACGGGCCTGCTATAGCTACGCACTGGCGGCACCTCCGATTATCAACACGATGCCCGCCGTTTCTTCCCTTGCAGCTGAAAAGACGGGCAAGGGAAAGCGGTAGTAAACTCCATTCTTTCTTTGGACCTAATCGTGTCAGCTATCGTCGCCGGCCTCGTGCTCTGCGGCGAAAAGGCGTTAAGAAACGACGCCGGGTTGTGGTGCGAGAGTTATACTTCCAAAATTGTTTTCTCGCTTTAAACAAAAATTAATTTGATTAAACTTTCAGAATCAAAAGACAATTCGTTGTTCTTTCAAACCAACTATATTTCGTATTTTCGCTTGGACCACCTCAGGGTGAAATAAACGGCTGTTTATTAGTCAAAACGCACTTTTTTCACAAAACGCACAAAGCGTGGCAGATCACCACAAGAAGCGGCCGCCGAAATGGAAAAGGTGGAGCGGCAGACAACGGATGAGACGAGAGCCACGTGACTGACACCCTGCTGCGGCGAGCCGCCGAAACACTCTTCTCCCGATTGAACAAGTGTGTTTCGGGTCCTCGCCGCTGCAAAAGCCGTGCGCTCACGTCCAGGTTCCCTTTTAGGTTCCTCGAGAAATTGCTCTTTGATGCTCTGTGCTACCAGATCCTCGCGCTCCAAATCTCGACCGGTCACTCTATGGCTCCGTCGTCGAACTGCCAGGCTTTGTGAGTATAGACGAGGCTATGGCACTGCAGAAGCCAGCGCACCAGCGGAGTGGCGGTGAAGCCGAGCATCAAGCGCTCACGCGCCCTAGGCTTGGCATGCTTTCTTTCACAGTCTAAGCTAAGCCGGCTTGCTAGTAAAGCGTCTCAGCTGTGACTGGGAGAAAGAAAGCACTTGAAAAGTAAGTGTGGGCAAGTGTCTTGAGACTCGGTTCGAGTCCCGCTCAGCACGTGCGCTGGCTTTTGCAGTGCTTTCTTTCCACCAGTGTCAGCTGGGACGCTGTTTCTAGCAAGCCGGCCCGGGCGTTTACTGTTGTTCACCCGACTTGTCCTAAGTCAGAAATCAACCGATCTAGATTAAAATATTGATGATGATGAAGGAAGAAATTATTTAAATAGTATGAAGGTTAATCCATCAATTGCGTAGCCCTACTTTTGCCACATGTTAATTACAATCTCCTCATAAATTTCACACCTATCTTTCTACGCTGATTCGTGTACCGCATTTGCGGAACAGAAATATGCAGTTTTAAATGTGTCCATATTGCCTCCACATTAATTAACAAGTTATAAAGTGAACCACTGGCCTCACTCTTCAACTGACCTGTGTCAAATGTACTGTAAATTAACAGTCCAATAAATAGCCTGTTATACTAAAGGACCTTGCCATTCGAACAAAACATGACACTTGAATCAATCAAAATTTTAAAATTAATCACGCACATAAGACAAAAACTTGTCGAGCCAAGACAATTATTTGCAAGTACACTGACATAGCGCGGCGACAAAACTGATACTTCCCTCCCACCCAACAAAGCGAACCTCGGCGAATAACGACTACTCAACGCTTTTTCTGGTATTCGACTTTGGACCAGGGTGCCAGATAGACAGGTGGGGAAACGGCCCATAGAAGCCTACCGCAGCGCCGTGACCGGATTCTGTACTCGTCTGCTTGCTGGTACCCTCGACTTGCGACAGATGGCGCTGCGGCGAGAGGAAAAAAATCGGAATCGGATTTG